CTCTCTCTTCAATCTACTTTCTCTCTCTATCTGTATCTTCTTCCCCAATTCACTAAGCTAAAATACCAAAAATATACAGAAAATTACAGTAAATACAAACAGACTGTTACACGATATTTGAGATACTAACTACCAATGAACTGGATACTTGAAGAATATCCATAGAAAGGTAGCATAACAATTTTGTTACAATCTATTTTTAATAGAATCATTTAAGCAAGAATCAGCCTTAGTAAAATGGACTCTAGATAGGTCGACGAAGAAAGTAGCAACAGCCTTGCATAAAATTCTAGTGGCATGGAATCAATATTTATTAGGTAGTTGATTTTATCAAATGGGAAGTCCAATGCCCGTGCATGGAACACAAATACTCAAAGATCACGTTGAACATTATGAACCGTATCAAGACACAAGGCCAATATTAGGCAAGTGGCATATAACGACAGAATAACATATGATGAGCCTTTGGATGCCACCATGCTAATCACACCAACAAAAGATAGTTATCGTAAGGGAGAAATAACAAAAGAATATATACAAATAACCAGAAATTGCCTACAAGATACAATGTGACAAATGAAAAAGATGAGTTTAAGCCCAAGCATAATAACCCAGAGGCTTTAGACCGATTAAATAAAGTTTAGCACTTAGTACTCACATTCCCAACAAAGACTGATCTTGAATCCACTTCCTCCTTGCTTGCCTGAGCAGCAGCACTAGCAGGATCTACATAAAGAGGAAAGTATATAAATTTGGATCAGTATGCAAAATAAATTTTGTTCGTGTATGACTATGTAATTCAAAGAGCAACGGGAAAAGTACACAGATCATGCCAAAAGATGAACAACAGAACAAAAAATGCACTCTTTTTATTTATTTCGGATATTGCAGAACCATAGTAACCATGCTTCAAGCATGACTTGCCCTGTACCTATTCATCCATGTAAGCAATCTTATCCCCACAATTGCCTTCATCTACAGTCAGATAAACCACATTGTTTCTACGAGGATCAGAATGGATTCATCCCAGATAATGACCACTCATTCATCATCTTGTATCTTTATATATTTACAAATTATCATCTTTTATCCATACATGTTACCAAAATATCATCTTAACCGCATTATCAACTAACAATCTTATTCTCAGATAGTTTCACACATCTTGCAAGAATAAGCAAAGCAAGAACATCACTGTTCACAAGTGCTTCACCTAGATTATTCTACGTATGCAACTTCCTGCGAGTTCAACGGGCTGATCTGTTCACAGCTTTTAATAATGATTGCAAAGAGATAATCAAGAAAACAACTTTGGAGAAACTAATTTATGAATATTTCTAATGATAAATATAAAAGAATTTCCTTTACTTCAATATACACCTTCTTTCTAAAATCACATAGGTCATAGTTACACTTTTAGATCAAATTTATCCCATAGGCCATAGTTACACTTTTAGATCAAATTTAAATCATTAACCATATGAACTAGCACACAAATATGTATCTTCTCTGGATGAGACCAAACAAAAAAAGATCAATTCAGCCAACATCTTTTCGCAAAGTACAAGCTCAGTTCAATCCAAATTTTAACTGAAAACAGTAATAGTCCATGTAAACTTATAATTAATGTAGTTACTAAAAAACAGAGTATATATAAGATCTTTGAAACAGAACCACAATTGAAACAAGAAAGACCTTGAACAGCACCCATCTCCTTCTCAACTTTGGCCTGCATTTCACGAAGCGCAGCGGCTTCTTCTTCCATCTCCTTCAATCGCTTCTTCATCTCGTCCAGCTCCTGATGATCGCAGATCCAATCAACAAACACACATATGCATACAACTATTAATTCAATTGCATAGTTTAGCTAAATCATAAGATCCGGCGAATTGTAACCTTGGCGGCCGCGTCATCATCGGCCGCCGGCATATCGACATCGGCGTCGGCTTCCATTTCGCCCTCGTCGGGTATCTCACCGCCGTACACCTCGTGCTCTTCCTCATCCATGTCTCACTCTCTCCCTCTCTGTGTGCAGAGCGATGATAATCTCCTGGCCTTGCTGTGACTGTAACTATGGGCTGAGCAGGCCCATCTAAAAACCCGAGAATGAGCGTGTATTTGGGCCGCTTCTTTTGATGGATTGGGTGTGATGTTCACTTGTTTAGGATCCGTACGGGCTTGCTTGTTTACCAATTAATTTACCCACTTTTATTTCAACTCAAAATTTAACTCAACTTTAACACAACCCCACTATTTTTAATTTATTCATATAATTAAATAATACAAACCAATCATTCTTACACATCACATCAACTTTAATTCACTATTCATCCACTCACATAATTTTAACTACCTATCATTTCCAATCATTTTCAATCATTTATCTCTTATTTTTACATCAAATCAACTTTAATCATTTTATTTTAAATATTATTTAATACATTCTTAAAATTCCACTACAACTAACCATACCACCTTTTTCAAAATTAATTATGGTTAACCAAAATAACTCAATTTGAACAAATTATTTCATAAACAATCAAGCCCTACATATCTACATCTATATATTATTATCTACGTGATAAGAATAACAATTTACTAAAAGTAAGTAAAAAATTGTGGGATCATATATATTGTTTAAATTTTTTTAATTATATGTAGTTGCTTGTATACACACGTTTTAAAATAATATCAAATTAGATATGATAAAAAATATTGTTTCTTTAAATAATTTTTTAATATCTGAAATAATTTCATTGATATACATGAGAATAAATTACAAGACTGATTTTTCAAAAATTAATTACTTGAAGTGGGGTCCACCTCTTTGTGTGTGTTGAATTACCCACAATAATCTTAATGAAAGTATTATTTTGTTTTTTTTTACCCATTAGATTATCCAATCTAATGGTTATGGTTTATTCTTATTTCATATATATATATATATAATTGCTAG